AGGTGCCACTTTCTTGTTCCTATTCTCGTGCTAGTAATAAAAGCTAAGGTAGCTTCTATACCGCTCGTGGATATACTTTTGTGTATCGCGGACTGATATGTTAAGCTTGAGACAAGTAGCTGAATGAGCAACGCCTCGAAGCTGCAAGATGCGAGCAGCTAAATCTATAGTGATGACCCTCAAATCTTTTTTAATATCGTGGCCGATCATAACCCTATCACGAAGAAGCTCGCTTAGTTGAGCCTGGACTTCGGAAAAAGATCTGGCGCCATTCTGCGGATCGATGTCGGCCCAGCGAATCCCAGAAAACCGTTCATCAGTGTTTATGATGTTCACCGGCTCGGGGTAGCATATGAAGCTGTCAAATATGGTTTTGCCGTCATAGTTGACGACAGAAACGCGTCCAAGGACTTGGCCGATATTGGACTGCATCATTGCGCAGTCGATGGCGATTTTCTCGGTGAGAAGGTCCAGGTGCAGCCCTATTTCTTTTGGGGTTTCAGGCCCCGATATTATCTCGATCTCGTCCATTGATGAGTGTTGAAATTACAATTAGTTGGATGCTTAGGTATGATACTTTAAGGCGTGGTGAGAGTTTATTGAAACTGTGTTGAGTAGTTCCAGTCTCTGATTCGGAGATGGGGTGGCACGCAACAGTTTTCAAGTTTGATGTTTGAGAGAAACGATAAGTCTAGACTGTCGACGGTCCATTGAGCTTAGCGGAGCTGATTGCCAAGCGTTGGCCTTTTAACACCCGAGAGTATGTAGCGGTGGCCACGTGCATAAACGTCTTAGATCAGATGGCCAAGGATCTGAATATTTAGGATAACGTTAGCTTATCTCGACCCCTACAAGCCTGTGAAACGCGTTCGTCCAATCGTGGTCAAGACCCCAGAATCATGACACTTCTTGCTGCAAGCTACTTGTCGAGGCGTAAAAAAGGCGGCCAAAATGCCACAAGAGTGCGGCAATGCACGGTGTAATTGAAAGTTTCATTAAACATATCTAGATGTCATATACGCTACCACAGCAGTCGACTGGCAAGCAGTTGCGCCAATGCGATACAGCTCGTATTGTGCGCTAAGCCGACGGATCCTTCAAAGTGCTTCCAGTCGCTATCGAGTCCTGTCGCGCTCAGCCTCGCTTGTACTTAGACTTAGCCAAGATGGACTATCATACGGTGTGAGTAAGTCTTGTACGAATCGATATTCGCGGTACATTTTTCATCTCATGCACTCGAGGCAATCCTAGATGCAATGCAAGTCGCTACAAGACTTGGCAAATGATGTTAGAAATTGTGTGTGCATTTAACTCTAATTAGTTTTTGGCTTTTTTCACTAAACAATCTTCTATTTCCCTCACGTTCACCGTCATCCCTTACTACACGATTGAATATTTGAAGTTTTCTTTTCGAGCGAAATCCTCTCATAGTCTGTATTGAGACCGAGTACTGACCTCGCTTGCTCTTGGTATCTTTTGGAAAGTGGAAGTCAAGCGAAGGCTCAAGTTCTCGTGCCGTTGGATCGTTCTGCAAGCCTTCGCTTATGGCTTGTTATACCTAGCGACTAGTTGTTATTGTTTGACGACGTGGTAAATCGTAAGTGGCTTCTGTCCGCGGGGTATGCAGCCGAGAATACCGGATTGATTGGCTGTGCATTCGAGTTCGCTATTGCTTCATAGATAACACGTTGTATCAGTACTGCAGGTGGATGCGTAATACATCACTCCAGCGACGACAGCATCAGGTTGCACCTAAATCAACTCTCAGGTCGATTTCTAATTCCTCCTTTCCACGTCTAACTACAATTGTTAGCGACTGCGGCTCCACCTCTGCGTGCAGCATTCCACAAAATCAGTCATGGCTAGATCGACCTACTATCTCTGCTATCTGTTGTCTTCATTTATCTGCGGTTCGTAGCCATTGCTTTTTCTTGTTGAGGTAGTGCATCCTTGTTGCCGTTGTAGTGGCTTGTTGGTTCGGCTCAGTTGAAGTCATTGCTTCTGCGGCCTTGCATAGGCTGCGACACTTTTGTGTAAGGAATATGCTAATTTGCTTAAAACATCGCTAACGACTTGACCATATTTCTCACTGAACCTTGTCAGGTCTTCTCAATCAATTGTTCTTGATGTCGGTGGCCGCAAATACAAACCACAAAAGATCACACTTGGAGCTTCTTCGTATTTTCGCAACCTCTTGGCCCGATGGGAGAATTGCAGCGATAAGCAGGAGGAAAGCTCGTACTTTGTTGATGCAGACCCCAATAAGTTTCAGTATGTCTTGGATTTCATGCGACGTCCATCAAGATACCCTTTGCACTGGACAAAAGAGACAGGTTTTGACTACGCACTCTACAACAAACTCGAAGCAGAAGCCGGTCACTTCCTTCTCCATGGCCTGCGCGACTGGCTGCAGGAGAAACGCTACCTTGACGCCATCAAAACTGTCGTCGAGGTAAAGGTATTGCCAGAGCATGGACCTGAAGATCGCTGGAATCAGAAAGATACGAAGTCGACAAGATTCAGATACGATACGAAGTCAACGAGATTCAAAGTTTCTTTGGTTCATACTCGGGGAAAAAGCGCTATCGTAGCCCGTGTGAAATTCATACGGAAATTGACTACCCTATAAGAGGTTGTGGCTCTTGTGCAGTGCTCATTCAGGCTCATGGACCACAATATGATGACCCATCGAAGGAACTCACCCTTGTGATTACAAGAGTGGTGTTTGATGAGGCGGTCTGTGTGAATGAAACAATCTCTTGAGAGATTGAAGGATATTCCTAAGGCGTTGCTTACCCTGTCGCCTGATGCTTCACATGTGATCTAAATACAGTCATGCCCAACAAGTCTATTCGCACCTACCCTCAAACTTTCTGCCCCGCCTTGCGCACCTCCCCGATACCTAAGCTCTATCAGACACCTCATTATCACTTCATCTCGTCGCCCGTTGCCCGTCAGTTTAGTAGAGAGACTATGCAGTCCCATAGATGTGTACCGTCTGTGGACCTGTTCCTATTCGAGCTTCTTCCCTACTATCCTCCACCATAACTCTGCCGTGCAAGTGCCTCACACATATCTCGTAAGTACTCATCCTCATGATACTGCGGCCGAGGTGTCTTAAATACATCTTTTCTCTTCTCGCCTTTTTCCGGCCATGCAAGCTGTCTCTTTTCCACTTTGTGCTTTTCGAGGGCTTTCTGACCGGTAAATGTAGAACCGCAAATACAGGCAAAACTAGCTACTAAAGGCTGAGCCTGCGCCAACACAGGGTCCAATCTTAGAGATGCAAAGGAAGAGACCAAGGAGTCATTTTGTTGTTGGCTTCGAGTAAGAGACTTATCGGCTTGACGCCTATAATATAAACAGTCGCGCTTGTGTACCTGAGAGACTTTTTCAGGCTCAAAAGCAGGGCTGCAGATACAGGAGATATGTGAAGTTTTCGGGAGCACTGAAGATAGGATAGTGGTTGATACTGGCCATAAAGCTGGAGAAATCGTAGTCGAAGGTGAATGTGAAACCGTGAATGGCACCGAGTCCGGCGTAGTGCTTTTGGGAGTTGACCCAGATCCCAATTTTTCTGCCTGATGAGTCTTCGAATACCGCAAATGATTTCCTAGCTTCTTCTCGTTCTTGAAGCTCTGTCCACAAGGACACAGTATTTTCTGGGCTGTGGCTTCCGCAGGTGGAATAGGACGCTTTTCTGTCGCTAATGTTGGACCCGCACCCTGATTCAATTCTGAGTACCAAGTCAAATTCAATGTGATCGAACGCGCGTTCACCTGTTGTTCGTAAAATGCTCGTTGACATTCGTGACCATGAATTTTATTGTGGTTTTTGAATCTGCCGCTGCACTGACAAGTTACAGAGAGCATAAGTCTCGGCGTCGAAGCTGGAATTGAAACTCTAGTTGGAACCGTAGCGGCCCTTTGACTGGATTTTGGAGTCACAGAAATGACATGCTCCCCATTCTGATGGATTCTGCAAATTTGTTTGTGCCCTAAGTACGTCTCTGTATTCTCGAAACTTTGACCACAAGGGCAGCGAACCTGGAGTGTGCTGATTCTTCCTGCCGCGTCCGCCATGTCGACCTCCGTATAAGAAAAGGTAATATCAACAAACAGTATGTAAATGGAATGCTAAAGGAGGTATCATAAACTTTGGTACCAAACAGGTGTTAATTGTGAAGATATAATTCCGTCTAGAATGGCAAGATTCGTAGCGAGGTTAGCCTTTGGTTATATGATTACCCCGCCTTGATCAAGCGATTAGTTAACCGGGGTATTGCCGGCCGTCTCGAACGGCCCAAGAGATCTACCAACCGCTGGCGCCTAATCTAGGTGATGCCCCTCTCACCCATGACTCCATATCAAAATCATGAATTGGTTTCGCTCTGAGTACTTTCACAAAGATGGATCATTACGAAAATATCATACATGATAGAAAGCTTATCCTCTGCCCTAAAACCAGAGACTGGTCTGTACCAGAACTCCTCCAGGACTGTCCTCATTGCGATGACTTCCTGTTGTATTGCTGCGCATGCAACAACGAATCCTTATCAAGCCGTGAAGGCCATCGACCGGCTATACCCTGCCACCATTTTCGCATAATCTTCACCGATGGGGCGTGTACAAACAACGGATGACATGGGGCAAAAGCAGGAGTTGGTGTAGCATACGGCAACGATGATAGTAGCCAATTGTCTAAACTCATCACGGACAAAGTAGACAACTTCCCACTACGCTCAAACCAGCGAGCGGAGCTTTGTGCTGCAAAGTCAGGTCTACAGTTCTTCGCTGAGGCCTACACTAAAGATCTCAAGAGCGAAGCCGCTGCTTGGATTGTCGCGACCGACTCCGAGTACGTTGTGAAGGGCATGACTGAATGGCTACCGACATGGAAGGTATGTATTTGACAAGGGCTTCTAATAACACTTCTGATCGCATTTGTAGAGGAATAACTGGCGTACGGCTAAAGGTACTACGCCGACAAATCTATATCTGTTCCTCGCTCTTGATGGCGTGGTGACGACGCTCGAGGCGGAGAATGTGACGGTCAGTTGTCACACACAAATTAATGTTGGGGGCCCTCGCGCCTACGTAGCAATCGCTCATCCATGCTGAAGCCGTTCAACAAAGTAATCAGCGGGCGCCAGGCTTCCTCGCTAAAGATATTTGGGTTGAGTATGCTTGCGCAACCGCTAGTATATTTGACGATTAATCATATCACATGCAGCGTGTTTCACAAGAATGGTTGAAGAATTGCGGCGTAGTTGCCCGTGCCACGTCTCCCGCACTTGGTTACACACTCGTCAACGTAATTAGTTTTGCTTGTTCGTAACACAATCCACGTTTCATGATTGACTCTACTTGATTAATTGAGCGGTCAGCTTGCACCCCTCTTCGAAATCAAATAGCGCCACAAAATGCGCAGTGGCAGTTGAAGCTAAACACTCCCTTTCCAACTGCAATTTACACTACAATAGGTATGACGCACCAAATGAGCTGCGGTTATAATCTGAGTTGGAGTTAAGTTGAGTTGGCGAAACTAGACTGGGGGACGCGCTCGTGTTGGCGGCGAGGTGGGTGCACCGCCATACGGTAGGAACGGGCAGGTTATGTGCAGTGGTATCACCGACCAAAGTCCATACCACGCTCCTGCTATACAGAGAGCTCCTATCTGGGTTTGACGACGAAACACGCACTAACGTCCGTCCCTGTGGGTCGAACATCCCCCCGCAACGAACCACCAACATTGTTTGGGCATCTTACGCCCAAGCTGCAGATACTCTGAGATTTGATTGTACGTTTATATACCCTTTAGATCTACCTTTATCTATCACAATCCTTTAATAGTAAAATTACGGCAATGTAAGGTGCTTACGTGAATCTTTCGTGTTGAGCGTAGAAGCTGCAACGACGAAACACCCCTGTCCTACCTCTTATAGAAGCTCTACTTGCCTATTCGGAGGCTCTGTAGAACTTAAAGTTAGCTAAAGAATCTACGGCTATTCTATGAATAGGTGCAGCCTCTGTCTAGATGCGATCCGAGTTTTTCCGGCTTGGTGTGCCAGTCCTTCGCGTTTAGCGAGAGGATTTAGAACGCCGATACAGCTGGATTGCGAACGCTTAGCGGCCTACGATGTACACCTGCGCTATGCCAAAAGAGCTGAAGCTGTGGCGCAGAGTTCTAGAAGCTTCCATTGTGTGATCAAGCGCGCAGTTACTCGCTATTCTTAGAAGCACACCGGTTGTGGACTCTGTTGGCCTCGCGGTTTTCTGTCGGCTAGATGGAAAGGGGGAATCCAAGTCGAATCCAAACCTAGACGTTATTCACAAATGTTTCATTTGCGCGGCTGCTTTCTCGTTTCTCCTGCGTCGTAACAGGCAAGCTTTAAGCGCGTCAGAGTTTAGACCCTGCCAGTAGCGCCAAAGGCTTTATATTCTATGCAGCTCTCGATGAAGACGCGATTCAGCCTTGCGGGCAGTGCACGACGCGTACATGGAGCCACGCCTTACCCCGCTTAGGGCTTCACACAGGATTCACCACCAAGCCAGGCATACAGCGAAAGCCGGTAGCCTCAGCTCGCGACATCTTGACGCATCACAGGGTCCTATTGGTATTTAGGGTGGTGCACCTGCTCGTCATTCTCTCTATAGGCTTACCATCCATCAGTAGCATGAAAGCAACTAGCAAGCAAGCGCCCGCACCACCAGGCTACCGACTTTAGCCTTTCGAGTCCTATTCTTATCGCATAACTATACCTACTATACACCCACACGAACCTATGCGGCTCTTGCGGTACAGTGAAAGGGGAGAGCTTAGCATCCACAGCTTCGACGATGGCGACATACCCCCCTACGCGATACTCTCACACACCTGGGGCGCAGATGACGACGAGGTGACCTTTGCGGACCTCCAGGCAGGCGGTGGCAAGACAAAGCTAGGCTATAAGAAGATCGTCTTCTGCGGAGAACAAGCACAGCAAGATAATCTACAATACTTTTGGATTGACACGTGTTGCATTGACAAGGTCAACAAGGCTGAACTCGCCTTCTCTATCCGATCGATGTTTCGCTGGTACCGTAACGCAACCAGATGCTATGCCTATCTGTCAGATGTTTGGAAGAGGAAGAGGAAAGCTTGTGATAGAGCCAGTGAGCTTAGCTGGGAGCCTGCTTTTAAGCTAAGTCAGTGGTTTACGCGGGGCTGGACGTTTCAAGAGCTTCTCGCTCCTACCATAGTCGAGTTCTTCTCGCAAGAAGGAGAGAGCCTTGGTAGCAAGACATCCCTGCAGACGATGATTCACGAGATAACTAACATTCCGTCCGAAGTGCTCAACGGGACCCCACTCTCTCGATTCAGCGTCAACGAGCGGTTAAGGTGGGCAGAAGGACGGACGACTAGGCGCGTCGAGGACAGAGCATACTGCTTACAAGGCATCCTTAATGTTGAGCTAGCGCCGGTATATGGCGAGGGCGAGGCCGGCGCATTCAAGCGTTTGACAGGCGAGGTCGACAAGTTGGAACGATGCATTCAAGACATACGCCAAACAGATCCCTGCGACGACAAGAAGCGCATTGAGGACACCAAAGGTGGACTACTAGCAGACTCCTACCGTTGGATTCTTGACAACACCACATTCAAGCAGTGGTATGATGACCAACACAGCCGACTGCTCTGGGTGAAAGGCGATCCTGGTAAAGGCAAGACAATGCTGTTGTGTGGTATTATCGACGAACTGCAAAACTCTTTACCTCAGACTGCCCTTCTATCGTACTTCTTCTGCCAAGCGACAGACTCGCGTATCAATAGTGCCACAGCTGTGCTGCGGGGCTTGTTGTATATGCTCGTGGACCAGCAACCATTACTTGCAGTTCATGTTCGCAAGAAGCACGATCGCGCAGGCAGAAATCTGTTCAATGACGCTAACGCCTGGGTCGCCCTAACGGAGATCTTTCCCGCCGTACTACAAGATGTAAGCCTTGGCACAACGTACCTAATTATTGACGCGCTCGACGAATGCGTAACAGACTTATCAAAGTTGCTCCGCTTTATCGAAAAGCAGTCATCTACGTTCTCTCGCGTCAAGTAGATTGTATCTAGTCGTAACTGGCCGGCTATTGAGGAACAACTAGTGCATGCAGAACGCAAAACGCGGCTGAGCCTTGAGCTGAACGCCGAGTTAGTCGCAGCAGCGGTCAACGTCTTCGTCCACTAGAAAGTTTGTTAGCTAGCGCAAGAGAAGCGCTACACGCCAGTAGTGCAATATGCGGTGCTTCAGCACTTGACATCCAACGCGAACGACACCTTTCTCTGGGTCGCGTTGGTGTGTCAAGACCTTAAAGTGACGCCAAAGTGGAACGTGCTCAAGAAGCTTGCCCAGTTCCCGCCTGGGCTGGACTCTTTGTACAGTCGGATGCTGCAGCAGATAAGTGAATCTGGTAGCGCAGATATGTGTATGCGGGTGCTAGCAGTGACTGCTGTCCTGTATCGACCCGTCACAGTCGCTGAGCTAGTTGTGCTCACTGAGCAGCTTATAGACTTTGTTGATGACCTAGACTCTGTGCATGAGATTATCGGTCTATGCGGATCGTTTCTCACGCTACGCGATGACATAGTCTACTTTGTGCACCAGTCAGCTAAGGACTTCCTCACAAAAGCGTCAAACGAGGTCTTTCCAGATGGTATAGAACATGTCCATCAAACCATTTTTGCAAAATCACTTACTATTCTGCATAAAGAACTTTATAGAGATATGTATAACCTTCAAGCGCCAGAATGTTTTATAGGGGACGTTAGGCCCCCTCATAATAATCCTCTAGCTGTATCGCGCTACCCATGTGTGTACTGGATTGACCACTTCTGCGACTCAAAATACAAGACACCAGCATATAGCGCTACTATATGCACGTTTCTTGAGCAGCAATATCTCTACTGGCTAGAAGCGCTCAGCTTGTGCAAAAGCATGGCCAAAGGGGTGGTCTCAATGACAAAACTGTGGCATGCAGTCCAGGTAGGGCCTACTTGGTTACACATGTAGTCTTAATGATGCAGTTGCTAACGTGATTAGGAACTTGGAGACACATATGCATTAAATGATATTGTGTATGACGCACGACGTTTTATTATGTATCATAAAGAGACAATCGAGAACTATCGTTTACAAGCCTATGCATCTGCTCTGCTGTTCAGTCCAGCAGACAGCATAGTAAGAAGGCTGTTTCAGCACGAAGCGCTAAGGGGAGTAACCGTTAAGCCAGCTATAAGCAACGGCTGGAGTGTGTGCCTGCAAACACTCGGAGACCATGGAAGTGCTGTTGCCTCAGTGGCGTTCTCGCACGACTCGACCCGGTTAGCATCAGCGTTAGGCGATACGACTATCAAGATCTGGGACGCAAACAGCTGGACATGTATGCACACACTCGAGGGCCATAACGGTGTTGTTTACTCGGTAGCCTTCTCGCATGACTCGACTCGGCTAGCGTCAGCATCAAGCGACAGGACTGTCAAGATCTGGGACATGCGCAGCAGGACATGTGTGGAGACGCTTGAAAGCCATGACGGTGATGTTTTATCAGTGGCCTTCTCGCATGACTCGACCCAGTTAGCATCAGCGTCAGACGACAGGACTGTCAAGATCTGGAACGCGAGCAGCTGGACGTGTCTGCATAGCTTCGACATCGGTATACCTCTCTCACACATGTCTTTCGATTCTACTGGTACTTTGCTCCATACAGAAGTAGGCACTATCACTACATCTAGCTCCCAGATTACGGACCGTATCGGCGTTGCAGCATCAAAACTACAATACCAGGGTGCTGGTATAAGTCTAGATCGCAACTGGGTTGTGTGCAATGGTAGGAGTGTATTATGGATACCCTTCGAGTATCGACCATCAAGCTTGGCTGTGAGTGAAACCCAAGTAGGGATGGGAGTAGGATCAGGAAGAGTCTGGCTTTGTCAAGTGGTCTAGATGAGAAGTTGTGGATAAATGGAAGACGTTTCTAGCTATTATGCCTCTGTGCTTGTCTAAAGGTAGATCTATGCAGTATTTATCATAACTACATGGAATATTAATCTCGCGGCATCTATTCCTAGCCAATTTCTAACAATAGACAGCAAGCGACTGCGCACGTAAGTAGTGGCTATACGAAGCCTCTCGAGCTTTGCGCCACATCTCGAGCCGTTTTGGTATAGCGTAAGTGCATATTGTAGGCCGCTAGACTTTCAAAACAGGTTGTGTCAGCACGCTAAGTCTTTTCGGTTCTTGCAATAGACTGGCACATCGCACCAGAACAACTCGGAAGCCACCTAGACAACGGCCGTACATATTATGAGAGCAGTGTCATATTCTTTAGCTAATTAAGTGTTGCTTGGAGGGTTCGAAGGATCAAGCGATTGTGCTGCATGTAACATAGCAGGGGTGTTTTGCTATTCTAGCTTCTATGCCAAAGACAAGAGGCTTAAGAACGCAAGCTATAACGCCGTAATTTTGCTGTACAGAGCCTGCGATAGATAGAAATAGGTGCAAAGAGTATCGGCTCATTAAAATGACTCTACATAATTGTGCAACGTGGGCATAACATGGTTAATCAATGTTCGTGGTTCGTTGCGGGGGGATGTTCGACCCACAGGGACGGACGTTAAAAGTGCTGCGGTTGCTGCCAGGGATATTTGGAATGGCTTTCGAAGCGGCAGTGGCGGCACAACGGTGTTCCACAGCAATCACAGCAGCCAGCAACCATCTAGCAGCAGAGAAGGTCTGGGCAGCCTCAAAAGAGACAGATGAAGGAACCGCTATTCTTGGGCTTTCACTTCCAAGATTCTGCGACCCTGTTCTCAACCGCTTGGCGGCGTTGTCTCGCCTCTACGTACCTGCCTACTTGGGATTAACCTGTTTCATCCTAGATTAAGGTACTCTCAGGCGAGCCTGTGTAGCAGGGTAGCTGGCATCACACAGCCCGCAAGTTTTCAGCTTCTATAATCCTTCGGCCCATGCAATTTTTAAACATACTCTATGCCCTAGCTTGCAGTAGATTGTTTTGTAATTTCTTTTGTGTACTAGATCGACTTCACGACATCGCCACTAGTAACACTAATGTGTAGTCAAAGGTGAGCTGACGAATCTTCACTGTTTGCCGATATCTGTAACGGCGCAGGCAAGACTACTCGGATCAGTA